ACACACACTCACACTCTCACACACACACTCACATACACACACACACACACTCTCACTCACACTCACATACACACACACACACACACTCACTCACATACATACATACACACACACACACACACTCACATACACACACATGCAGAAGGTAACTATTACATAAACATTTGGTTTACCATGAGAATATTATTATAAGTGATATAATCGTGCGGTAAATATTGGAAATGGCAGATGTAGCTGGTTAGTTAAATCATTAACGACTGTTATTTATGATATTTTGGGTTTATTGTGCAACATTAACTATTTATTGCACACCTGACAGGTTGATGAATACATAAAGTGACTAAAGTGATCGTTTAAGCAGTTCATTCTATCGTTAAACAGTCTAAATAAACCTGTGTGTGTAACGCTGTGTTCGTTCACTGTTTACATGCCACCCAGAAGCGTCAGGCTGAACACCTGTAGCAACAAAAGAGCTTTAGTTTGGGCTGCTTTTATGAATATTGATATATTGCCTGTTGTCTTTAATTTACCTTAATTTTAGATTAAAGTTTGATCGCCTACAGATTATTATATTAGATAAAATCACCTTCAAAATTGATGTGTAAAATAATGTAATTTTAATTTTTTATTATTATGGTTTTTAATGTATTTTGAGTGCATCACATTAAAGTCCTTTTTAAAAAAAAAAAAAATGTAGGCCATACACTGATGATGGATTCTTCACTTACTAAAGAACGTAAAAGATAAATCTATCTATCTATCATCTGACTATCTTATCTATCTGACTATTTCTATCTATCATCTGACTCTATCTATCTATCTATCTATCTATCTGACTATTTCTATCTATCATCTGACTCTATCTATCTATCTATCTATCTATCTGACTATTTCTATCTATCATCTGACTCTATCTATCTATCTATCTATCTATCTGACTATTTCTATCTATCATCTGACTCTATCTATCTATCTATTTCTATCTATCTATCATCTGACTATCTATCTATCTATCATCTGACTATCTATCTATCTATCATCTGACTATCTATCTATCTATCATCTGACTATCTATCTATCTATCATCTGACTATCTATCTATCTAAAGCGTCTGCTGAATGACTAAATATAAATGTAATAATTTTTTATGGCCATTAAAACTTTTCATCTTAATGGTTAAAGAAAATATATATATAATGTATACTGTATATATATATATATATATGTGTGTGTGTGTGTGTGTGTGTATATATATATATATATACATATATATATATATATATATACACACACACACACTAGTAATATTACATGTATTTATATTATTTTAATAGTATTTTATTTGATATACTATTTAATATTATTAATATAATATAAAATGCTCTAATATATAATTTCAGATAACATTATCTGAAATCCCAAATGCCACTCTTTTAAGCATCTCATCCTCTTTTTCTCTGTTCGGGTCAGTCCTGAGCTCAGCCCGCAGTGTGAGTCTCCGCTGCCCCTCCATCTCTGAGCGTCTGGCGTATCTGCGGCCGTCCCGCCAGCTGCTGGAGTTCTACAGGCAGAAGGTGGCGCAGTTTGATGGAGAACATGATGACCTGCTGCAGATGCTGGAGAAGTGCAGGAGCACCGCGGAGGAGCAGGTGACCTGTCACCTGGATGATGCTCCTGCTCTGTTCTAGCATTTGTTCGTGGTTGTTGTATTATTGTTTTGTGTGTGTGTTTGTGCAGCATCAGTTGCAGTGGGAGGTGCGTCAGCGCGAGGAGGAGATCGCAGAGCTCCAGAACGCTCTCAGTGACATGCAGGTGTATCTGTTCCAGGAGCGAGAGCAGGCGCTGCGACTGTACGCCGAGAACGACCGCCTCAAAATCAGGTCAGATGTCCCCTCATCACAGAGACCAGAGCACAAACATGATATCTGAAGCTGAAGTGCTTTTTATCGTCACAGAGAGCTGGAGGACCGGAAAAAGATCCAGCATCTTCTAGCGCTGGTGGGTCCAGATCCAGGCGAGATCGCGTATTTCCATCGCGAGCCTCCACACGAGGTTCAAAACTACACACATCAACCTTATTTTGATATTATATAGCCACCATTATGCTTGGTTTTTATGTTTTCATGAATTCAGTTTGTTTTGTAATAATATGGTTTTAGGTCACAGTCCCTCAGAAGAAGGTCCAGCTGAGATCACACGAGGAATCAAAGGTGGTGAAACCGAGGCCTGTATCAGTGAAAGGTCCGCCTTCACCTTTATTCTGTTTCATATTTAGTAACTAGTGACTAATTTGCGGTGGTTTTATGGGTGCATTGACACATTCATAATATTTAGAGATGAACAGCTGTAGTTTAAGAGCATGTGGCGTTTCAAACTACAGGAAGCAAGAAATCGTCCAGAGAAGGAGAAGATGCCACAATTTCAGAGCAGTACAAGAGAGACAACCAGACGTTACTGCTGCAGGTGTGTGTCTCATGGTCAACAAGGCTGCATTTATTTGATCAAAAATACAGTAAAATCAGTAATACTGTGAAATGTTATTATAATTTAAAATATTTGTTTTCTATGTTGAATATATTTTAAAATGTCATTTGTTTCTGTGAATTTTCAGCATTATTACGCCAGCCTTCAGTGTCACATGATCCATCAAAAATGTTAGTTTATATTGATAAATGTATTAAGGATTAACTTTCTAAATTTATTTTAATGCTTAACATAAAATTAATTTGCAAATACACATTGAATAAAAACATGTTTTATCTTGCACAAAAATGATATATTAAAAAATATAGTATTAGAAATATATATATATATATATATATATATATATAGATGCACGTAATAGGTTGGCATACATATAATTTGCTTTCATTTATATATTTTTTGCCAAATAATAATTTTTTATTTATTTACTTATTTAACCAGGAAGATCCCATTGATATACAGTATCTCTTCTACAAGGGAGTCCTGGTCAAGATAGGCAGCAAAGGACAAATTTACAAAGAAATACACATCAGCACACAATGAACAAACATGAAACACAAAAACAATTCTAAAAACAATACAAATCCTAGTCAGTTATTAAAACACTGTTCTATATAAACAGACTTTAAAATATTTTTAAACATAGCGAGAGCTGGTAAAGCTTCCATGTGTAATGTACCTTGAAGTTCATTTCATAAATACGGAGCATAATTAGAAAATGCAGAACGACCTATCTCTGTATGAAAAATCGGCATCTTAAGTAAGAGTTTATCTGTTGATCTGGTATTATAAATATTTGTGCAGTATGGCAACAAACTAGATATGTACTGTGGTAATTTACCCACTAAAGCTTTTAAAATAAAAATGTAAATGTTTTTTTTTCTCCTTAAGCACAATGAAGTCCAATTTGTCATTTCATATAAATTACAGTGATGTGTGCGGACGCTTGTACCAGTAACAAATCGTACTGTGGTAATTTACCCACTAAAGCTTTTAAAATAAAAATGTACATGTTTTTTTTCTCCTTAAGCACAATGAAGTCCAATTTGTCATTTCATATAAATTACAGTGATGTGTGCGGACGCTTGTACCAGTAACAAATCGTAAAGCAGCGTGATAAACTACATCCAATTTTTTCAAAACATTCAGAGATGCATGCATATAAATTATATCACCATAGTCCAATATTGATAGAAGAGTACTTTCTACTAAACGTTTTCAAGTAACAAAGGAGAACATTTTTTTTAAACTAATGTTTTAAGCATGTTTTAATTAAATATATATATTATTTATTATTATATTTTAAATATAAATTATGAAAAGTTAAATTTTTGTATATTTTTATTTTATTATTTAGTTTTAAATGTAAAATAGCTTGTACCAGTAACAAATCGTAAAGCAGCGTGATAAACTACATCCAATTTTTTCAAAACATTCAGAGATGCATGCATATAAATTATATCACCATAGTCCAATATTGATAGAAGAGTACTTTCTACTAAACGTTTTCAAGTAACAAAGGAGAACATTTTTTTTAAACTAATGTTTTAAGCATGTTTTAATTAAATATATATATTATTTATTATTATATTTTAAATATAAATTATGAAAAGTTAAATTTTTGTATATTTTTATTTTATTATTTAGTTTTAAATGTAAAATATCTATTTTATAAAAAAATATTATATAAATATAGATGTACATAATGTGTAGGTGTACATATAATTTGCTTTCATGTATATTTGTGCAGAATGAACATGTTTTAATTGAATATATACATTTATTATATTTATTTCTATATTTTAAATATACATTTTTATGAATGGTTTTAAATTAAAAATGATAAATATTATTTTTATATAATATAAATATCAATATTTTTATTTAATTTTAAATGTAAAAATATATAATAATTTTAATTATAGTATTTTATATAAATATAGATGTACATGTGTAGATGTACATACAATTTGCTTTCATTTATTTTTTTTGTGCAGAACGAACATGTTTTAATTAAATTGTCTATAAATATAGATGCACATAATGTGTAGATATACATATAATTAGCTTTAATTTATTTAATTTTTTGTGCAGAATAAACATTTTCATTTAAGTACGTGTTAATCTTTTTGTTATAGCTTGCTATGTGTTGAATGGCTGCTGTATGAGTCCAGGTGGAGGTGCTGCAGGCTCAGCTGGAGGAGCAGACGCGGCTGGCTAAAGAGCAGGTGGAGGCGCTGCTGGAGGACCGGCGCATTCATCAGGAGAGACAGGTACAGCACCAGCGCAACCAGGACACAATCACGGCCCTCAACGACAAGTAAGTTCATCCCCCCTCCTGATTCAACAAACCCCGAGCACCAGGCTTGAGCGAGACTCTGCCTCGTGTTCAGACTGCAGCGCACGCAGAACCTGCTGTACGAGAGCACCAGGGACTTCCTGCAGCTGAAGTTTGAGAGTCGAGCTCACGAGAAGAGCTGGATGCTGGAGAAGGACCGTCTGCTGCGAGAGCTGGACTCCTGTCAGGAGCGGCTGCGAGAGGAGCGCAGTTTCCCCTCTGCAGACGCCCCGTTCATCTCACAGCCCAAACACGAGAGCAGCCACACTCACCGGGAGGAGATCCGGCTCAGACAGCTCCCATTTCCTTCTTCATTTAAGTAACTTAGGTTTTTGGAATGCCACAAATGCCTGGAAAAGTTTAAGGCAGAACTTTTAATGCCAAAGACTCCCAAATATGATGATGATAAACCCACTTATTAAATAATAAAGTCAGCTATATATTTAAAACTCAGTTATAATAAGTGAGAAAAATAATGTGATGTTTTTAAATAAATAACTATTTGCCATTTACATTGTTAACATACTAAAGCCTAAGATAAAGTATTGTTATATATACTGTATGTATGTGTATATATATTAGTGCTGGGCAACGATTAATCGCATCCAAAAGTTTTTGTGTACATATGTGCGTACTGTGTGTATTTATTATGTATATATAAATACACACACATGTATGTATATATTTAAGAAAAATGTTGTTTGTATATTAAATGTATTTATATATGATATGAATTATATGAATACAAATATATACACATGTAAATATTTTTTTAATATATACTGTATATATGTGTCTTTATATGTACATAATAAATATACACAGTACACACTAACCCTATTACATAAACAAAAACTTTTATTTTGGATGCAATTTATCACGATTAATCGTTCCCCAGCACTAATATATATATATACTGTATATATTCAAATGTATTTTTTAATTTTCTAATTTTTTTTTTATATTTTCCAGAACAATACTTTATCTTAGGCTTTAGTACATTGAACTATTTGCCATTTGCATTGTTATTCTTAAAAAACATATCACATTATTTTTCTCACATATTATAAATGAGTTTTAAATATATAGCTGACTTTATTATTTAATATATATATATTAGGGGTGTAACGGTACACAAACATGACGGTTCAGTACGTACCTCGGTTTTGACGTCACTCTTCGGTATGGTTTTGGTACAGCAGGAGGAAAAAATACTAAATATTTTTTTTAATTAAAGAATGGTTTACTGAACAAATGGCTTTTTTCAGTTTTTTAAGATTTGTGTATAGCTTTTATGAATTTTTAGTTTTAGTTATTTGAGCACATCAACTTAAACTAAATGAAATTAAAAATGTTGCCTTGGCAACTATGTGAAATAAAATAAAATAAAATAAGTTATATATATATATATATATATATATATACACACACACAGTGTATTTTTGAAAACCTCTGGTGTACAGGAGCCACATTTTTTAAATAAATTAATAAATATATTAACAAACTTATGCATAATAATTGTACAGGTAAATTACATAGTTTTAAAATGTTTAATATTTTTGTGCAGGGTAAGCATGCTTTAGTTGAAAATTATTTTATAAGGAGGAATCACATTCTCCTTCATCTTTTGAAACAAGACTTTATCCAGGTCTCACAAGTGGTTTTGTCTCTTTTTTTTCCCCCAGCAGGCTTTGCATGAGGAACTGAAACAGGCTCATAAACTGGCTAACATGTACCGAAAGCAGTGTGTGAATCTGGAGACGGACCGGTCCCAGATCAGAGAGGAGGGCGACGTGGGCCGAGAGATCTTCAAAGTACGCAAACAAACTCCTTCACCAGAAGAAAACAAAGAAATGATTGATTAGCCACCCTCATGTATGCCTGTACTATTAACTTCTGCGGCTCACAAAAAACGAGATGTTCAGCTGATTGTCCCCGAGTCATACAGACAAGAGCAGCCTAAACATCATGCTAAATCTCTCCTTCTATGTTTATTTTTTAAAAAGTACTGTTTTGAAGCACACCAGGGTGAGATGCTTGAATGAAAAAATGAACACATTTTGATATTTTATTGAAATGTCGAGGTTGCTTCAGTGTCAAACTAGCATCTGATTTTTGCACGTGTGTTTTTAGGAGCGCTCTGGTAAGATTGCCAAACGTCTGCAGCTGATGACTAAACGTTATGAAGCTCTGGAGAAGAGACGAGCCATGGAGGTGGAGGGATTCAAGACCGATATCAAACTCCTGCGGCAGAAAGTCAAAGACGTGGAGAAATATCTCTTTAAAGTTAGTAATTTCTCTCATGCATTTCTGCTATTTAAGAATATATGAAGAGTTAATTTGCAAAAACGGATAACTTTTCAGAAATCACATTTTTTTTATTGCGCATTCCAAGTAATATCAATCAAACTGTAGTTGGGTTGTTTTGATTAAGTAATAATAACTTAAATACAGGTAATTTACAAAACTAAAGTTCATTCAAAGTATGTATTTTTTTTTTTACGTATTAAAAGTTTGTTTTATAGCAAAAGCAGATAACTCCCAACAGTCGTTTTTTGGCAAAAGCAGATAACTACACATTTCATGTTTTAGAGTAAAAAAAAAAAAAAACCTTGTTTAATCTTTGTAATCTCCTCAGATGACAATGTAGATGCCTGACAAACGTTGTTCTTGTTGTGATCATAAACTGTATGGATGTGATTACACGCAATACACATATTTGCCTTTTTCGCCTGAAGATAATATCACAGGTTCATCAAGTTCGTCGAAATGATCCATCCTCGATCACTTTTAGTCAGCTTTGACGAAACTCCTCTCAGCTAGCACGTCTTTTCAGAGTGAAAGTAGCCTTGTCACCTGACCTGAATACAGATTCGTTAAAATGGACTTATCGGCTTCTGTTCAAAAACAACATGGGCGCTTGTCGGCTTCTGCAGTAAAACGTGAACCCACGATGCCTTGAAAGTGGACAAAACTGGCTTTTTTGACAACGTGTTTAGGGATCAGATCGCGCTATATGTGGAGAATAATGCACGGCCATCAGCTCTTTTTTTTTTTTTAAGTGGCGTTTATCGTTTTTGCAAATTAACTTTTCATATGTCTCCTTAGCTTGAGGTTTTCAGCTACACACAATCAGCTAAATTGTCTGATATCAATATATATGAAATTGGCAACTATTTGTTAGTCATTAATATTAGCATTAATTGATGCAGATTTTGATGGCTGTGTCTTTCACTAGTTGACACTCAACGTGGGCCCTGATCAAGACCTGGCGATCCTCCATGAAGTTCGACAGACCAACAGCCGCACGATAAAGGTCCAGAGTGAGCTGAAGAACCTGAGGCCCACAATCTACAAACTGGAGAACGACCTGAGGTTCTGCTGAAGACTCATGAGGAGGATCGATGAGATGAACCTCACACTATGTTCTTTAGTCAAATATCCATCCATTTGTATGATTTGGAGTATGAAGAACTTCTGAGACGCATCACTGACTGAATGAGTCAGAGGAAAGCTGGACATCATAGAGCTGAGTGTTTATTTGTGCTGTTGAATTTTGTATATTAGATAAATAAAGGTTGCTTTTTGTGTTCATTATGAAAGTGATTCACCATTTTTGACTGGTCTGAGACCATAACAAACACAACAGTAAGGCCCATGTTCATTTTATAGTTTTTAAACATCTCAATTTAAACATCTGAAACCTCTCGAGACAAAAACAATACTGAAATGCTTGGAAGAGACTGGACATATGTCAGTTGACAAAAACTAAAACATACAGATGAATCTGATGAAAACTATTAAAAACACGCTACTGTCATATTTCACCACAAAAAAAAAAATCATTGTGCATAATGAAAACAGACTATATTAAAGAGTTTTTGCACAGTTAACAGTTGCGCACATTTTCTGCTCCAATTGTAATTAACACAACAAAAACGTGTGTATATATATATATATATATATATATATATAAAGATGTTTTCTGGCAAAACTGAGACGAGCCTTTAATTTCGTTTTGCTCAGCAACGGTTTTCGTCTTGGAACTCTGCCATGCAGACCATTTTTGCCCAGTCTCTTTCTTATGGTGGAGTCATGAACACTGACCTTAACTGAGGCAAGTGAGGCCTGCAGTTCTTTGGATGTTGTTGTGGGGTCTTTTGTGACCTCTTGGATGAGTTGTCGCTGTGCTCTTGGGGTAATTTTGGTCGGCCGGCCACTCCTGGGAAGGTTCTCCACTGTTCCATGTTTTTGCCATTTGTGAATAATGGCTTTCACTGTGGTTCGCTGGAGTCCCAAAGCTTTAGAAATGGCTTTATAACCTTTTCCAGACTGATAGATCTCAATTACTTTCTTTCTCATTTGTTTCTGAATTTCTTTGGATCTCGGCATGATGTCTAGCTTTTGAGGATCTTTTGGTCTACTTCACTTTGTCAGGCAGGTCTTATTTAAGAGATTTCTTGATTGAGAACAGGTGTGGCAGTAATCAGGCCTGGGTGTGGCTAGAGAAATTGAACTCAGGTGTGATAAACCACAGTTTTAACAGGGGGGCAAACACTTCTTCACACAGGGCCATGTAGTTTTGGATTTTGTTTTCCCTTAATAATAAAAACCTTCATTTAAAAACTGCATGTTGTGTTTACTTGTGTTATCTTTGACTAATATTTAAATTTGTTTGATGATCTGAAACATTAAAGTGTGACAAACGTGCAAAAAAAATAAGAATTCAGGAAGGGGGCCAACACTTTTTCACACCACTGTATATACAGAGAGCGATATATATATAGAGAGAGATATATAGCATGTTACATGGTAGTGTCTGTTCTATTGAATTTAATTTGTATTTAAAAAAAAAAATTTTAATTAGAAAAAGAATTTGGTGGTAAAATCAGTTTAATTGTCTGTTTAAAGAAAATATCACAATGCAAAAAACAGTGTTTTATTGGCATTTTGCAAATTAAGCTTTAACATGTTTTGTACAATTAATAATAAAGCAAATTTAATGTTATTTATATATTTGTTTATATATATATTTTTTATAAACATGTATATATATTAAAATTGTATATGCATTGTAGTGTTTGTTTTGATTTGTGTGTGTGTGTGTGTATATATATACTTTAATCATTTTTAATTACAGTAATGTGAATTTGGGGGGTAAAATGTGCTTAACTGTTAAGAAAATATCATGCAAAAAAAGATTTTTTTTAATAACATTATGCAAAATATAATTTATGCAATATCTAAAATATGACCTGGTGAGATTCAATCATACACACGAAAAGATTCAGCCTGAGCACAGCGAAGCGGTGACACTGTCACATACTCTAGAAAATCACCAGATCATTGTCTAGTTTTGTCTCATTCAAAGTATAGCATTAATTTCCCAAAAAACATCTCCAAATGAGTGTTTGGTCATTTGAAATTAAAATAAGTTGTGTATATATTGCACGATAACAGAATGTACCATTGTCATTACTTGGCAATAATATTAACGGTACAAATGTAACACTCTTTATAATATGCCTCGACTACAAAAACAGCCAAAATATATACATAGTCAACTAAAACCCCACATATGATAAAAACAAAAGACTTTGGGAATGCAACACTGAAAGCTGCATTTCACACGTACCATAAAACCTCAGTGACGCTTGTATGGCTTCAACAATGACAGAATGACTTAAACACACAGTTCACTTGCTCCTGAGGCACAAAAGTGCATTGTCACACTCGATTAAAGATCACAAACTGATTGTAGTGTTGAAACTTTGGCCCTTTTGGTGGTCTGGACTAATACACAAGTCCAGACAGGCAGCCTCGTTTCAGAGTTTTTCACTCATTTTGACTCAGAAAAAATGGCGACGTTGGCTCCTGACCAGCAGGAATCAGTCCGGTGCCCGGGATTTTACAAGTATAAATATATTCTACTTCGATAATGAGCCTTTCGTTAAACAAACTCTGAAGAACATTTTCAGACTTGAAAGGAATAGTTCATCCAAAATGAAAATTTGCTGAAAATGTGCTCAACTTTAAGTCATCAAAGATGTATTTAGCATTCCATCACTTGCTCAACCAATGGATGCTCTGCAGTCACAATAAAAAACATCACAATAATCCACAAGACATTACCTGCTGGACTGGAGTGGCGTGGATTACTTGTGGATTATTGTGATGTTTTTATCAGCTGTTTGGACTCTCATTCTGACAGCACCCATTCACTGCAAAGGATCAATTGGTGAACAAGTGATGGAATGCTACATTTCTCCAAATCTGTTCCCATTAAGAAACAAACTCATTTTTAGTTGGCCAGCAAATTTTCATTTTTGGGTGAACTATTTCTTCAGTGACCATAAGGAGGCAGCATAACTGCTTTTAAAACGCCAGCTTTAATAAACAAACTAGTGTTTTTAGGGTGGTTGAGTGGGTTTGTGGGTCAGCGATAAGGCGCTGGAGTTGATTGTGCTCACAGTGTGTGGACTGACCGCGGCTCAGATCATGTAGTTCTTCTTCAGCACCTCCAGGTACTGTTGAGTGGCTCTGCTCACGGGGTCCGGCGGCTCCAGACTCACGTTCAGATTCTGAGAGCCAGAGGCCGATCCTACGGGAGACATGCGGGCACTTCCTCCTTCCAGCTCTCCTGTCACTGAGAGAATGACATGAGAAAGAAAATCACAAAAAAGTCACTTTTGAGGCCATTCACATTAATACAGAACACATTTTTGCTTGGACTTGAGTGGAGATCCAACCAGTAATAATGTAATTCTAACTTAAGGATCATATTAACCCTGTAAAGTCTGACATTTTAAAGTATAGCCTGAAAAATGTATCTTTTTTTAACTGAACATTTAATTAAACCTTCAGACAAAAAAAACTTTTGCATGCATTTTGTTTGTATTTTATGGCTCATATAGTGTGATATAGGAGAATATGGAGTTTAATCTAAAATATTAAATCTAATATAAATGAAATATATAAATTATGATAGCTTGTAATCTAAACGAATGTGATCCTCATAACAGTAAAAATGACTATTTACATAAAATACATGTAAACATTTTGTTGTAATAATGTCTCACCATAGTCCAGCTCCTTCGATATGTGCTTCTCCAGCTCCGTCTGCATCTGCAACAGGAACAGACCAACCAGATTACACATCTGACACATCTGATCTCATCAAACACGCATGTCCTAAAACTAGCACTCAGCCAGCTCTTTTTTTAAAGTTGTCGCAGCGTTCATACTATAAAAATGTATAACCATGACTATGCAGATGCACCATGGTTTTGACACATCTGATTGGTCAAAATCCAAATGCCAGTAAAAGCATCCATTACCGTTCAAAAATGTTGGGTTTTAAGGCAGCATTTATTTGATTTAAAATACAGTAAAAACAGAGAAATCGTAAAATATTACAATTTACCCTAGCTAGTGATATCATTTCATTTTATAATTTCATTTGTATAATATCAAATTAAGAAAGGGGCAAAAAAAATCATCTGAATCATTTACTCATTCATTTTAGTATGAAAAATGACCTCAAAAAGGATCAAATAAAGGGGTTAAAAATTTGACCAGTACAGCTACAGACCTGAGAATAGCTAAACATGTTACATCACATATTGGTTCATAAATCACAGATCTTGTTTAAATATAAATATTCATAAAGATTAAATATAGACATAATAGATACTCATGCTACTTCTGTAGTATATTTACTCTGCAGTATGTCAAATTTCTGTATCATTTAAATACCTAAATAAGCTACTACATTTGTCAAAATGTGCAGTAAACAACCAGAGCACACTGCACTCAGTACTGTATCCCACAATGCAATGCGCTTAACATTACCTTCCAGTTCCAGTGTGATGAAAGAACTCTCTGATCCAACTCCCAAAATTTAACATTTTTACACAAAATAATTCAAATGTAAAATGATTTATTACCTATAAAACGTCATTAAAACTAAAAAATATACTAAACAAAATAAATAAAAATGACAAAAGCACGTAACAAAATTACAAAATTCAAACTAAAATTGAAATGAAAACAGAAAATATCAAAACAAAAGCTAATTCAAATATAAATATGAATGAATAATACACAAATAACTAATTCTGAAGAAAGATAATGACTTTTTTCAGAAACGACTCGGTGTACTAAAAGCTGTAATGGCAAAAAGTCTACAAACTCTGATCTAATTAAAATCTTACTAAAAATCCAGCATGATTTCTGACTCAATGTTTTCTCCCATAAACAGCTGTGTGAAGCCCCAGAGACACATTAAAGCAGGTGTGTGTGTGTGTGTGTGTGTGTTCTGACAGTCAGAGGTCTGCACACATCAGCTACACACCTGCTCAGGTATCAGGCTGCAGAGAGGACAGGTGAGAAACAGACTTTTGAGCTAGAAGCTGAAGATATCAGAGACAGAAGAGGATATGAGTCCAGACAGCAGCCACAGTAAAAACAGACCAGGAGGTTATTTACTACGTTTATGAAGGGAAAGATAGTGGAAGGAGAAGATATATCATTGTTTGTTAGTCTTAGAATCACCACCTGGCATGGGATTTATTTTGGGTGGCTCTTCTAAAGCTAACAGTAAGTATTAGCTCATTGTTAGAGTTGAATGTTGAGTCAGTGTGGTGTAGGATTTAAAACCTGTTCACAATCTAAATGAGAGTCAAAGACTGCATGCGGCATCACTCACCTTTGCCAGGTAGGCCTCTACGCGGCTGCTCTGGGATTCCCCTACCGTACCCAGCAGAGGCGTCCCGAGGCCCAGACTCCTGCTCAGGGGTCCTAGAGAGGCTCCGTACGCCCCCACATCCAGAGCGGGGCCTCCTAAACTACCGTTCACTATACTGCTGGTGAGCAGAGATTTACTGCGCTGCCTCTCGCTCAGGAGCTTAGTATTGGCCTCCGCTAACCGCTCGCTCGACCTGCACAAAATTAACAAAAAGACATTTTGGCACATTTTGAAAAACAAACAAACAAAAAAACAGTAAATCTTTATGAAACAGAAATAAATAAACTAAATACAGAAATAGCAGCCTATTTTTTAATTGGAAATATTTACTAGGGCTGATTAAAATAACAATAAAAATTATTTAGGGTAATTTTCATTTTTTTACTTTAAGAACTTTTACTTATTTACTTGTTTTTTTAACTTGGTAAGTTTATCATAATTTTCTGCCCCTCCTTTAATATGCTTTAAAATAATATTTATTTCTAATGTAATTGTACGATTTACTATTTTTTATTTGATTAATTTATTTGTACTTATTATTTTAGCTCTGCTTTGTAAATTGATCATTTTCGGCACATTTCTTTGAAATAATATTTCTTTATATTTGACCATTTTCATTTATATATTATATGTATATATATTTTTTTTATTTTATTTTTTTTACCTGGTAGATGTATCATCATTTTCTGTGACTCCCTTGATAGGTTTTGAAATAATATTTTATATATTTGTTTTTACATTTTACAATTTTTATTTACTTTTTTATTTTAGTAATGTATTTATATTTATTTATATCATGATTTTCTGCATCTTCCTCGATATGCACTGAAATAATATTTATTTATTTATATTTTATTTTATTTATTTGTATTTATTATTTTTTATTTTACTTGCTAAATTTACCATAATTTTCTGATTATCTTTACATATTTTGAAATAATATTTATTATTTTATTTATATTTTGCTATTTTTATTTATTTTTTATTTGAATAATTTATTAGAATTGATTTTTTATAATTTTCTGCACCTGATAGGCATTGAAATAATTGCCATTAAACTCTTTTTTTTGTGGCTAATGCAACTAATTTCACTTTTTGAATCTGAAAATGTGATTGAGCTGTGATTATAATGAAGACATACAGCATTTCTAAATATAATTCTGAGGACTGGCTCCCATGATGCCTCTCACCTCTCTAGTTTGGCGGCCAGACTCTTGCGGAGATGGAGCTCTTCGCTGTACAGCTGTTTGTAGCGCTCCAGCTCTGTGCGGCTGGAGTCTCTCTGAAGCAGACTGTCCTGCTGAACGCTGCGTAAACGGCTGAGCTCTCCCTCCAGATCCCTGATGCGCTGCTCCTGCTGAGCACGCTGACTGGCCTCATTAGCAGCTTTCATCTGCTCCAGAGCTTCCTGAGATGCCGCCTGCGTCTGATGAAGGAAACACAGTGTCAGCGTTTAACAGTGTCTAAAACTTCATAATAAACTAAATAATTATCTTATATTTTAGAAATATATAATATTCTATATAAACAAAATAATTATAATTATCTTTATAAAAGAATACATTTTGTTTTTAACTTGTAAAATAATAAAAAATAATAAATAAATAAAATGCTGTCTGTGTGAAACATAAAATCTCATGATGAAGAAAATGATTGTATCAACTTTATAAGGAGAATTATTATAATTATTCTATAAAGTAATATTTTATATTTAAATAAAATATATAATATTATAAAATAAAATAACAAAATATAATGCCTGCATGAAACAATGTCTAAAAATGTATAAAAAACAAAAGTATTCTAATTACTCTAATTAAAATATATATAAAATAAATGATAATAAAATAACAGTAAACAAAATAAGATAATGTCTGCATGTGAAGAGTGAAAAATACATAAATAATAAGCAAAATTATTCTAATAAACTTTTAAAAATAATATTTTATACTTAAATATAAATAAAAATAATAACATAAAAATAAAATAAAATGAGTTATCATTTTTGCATAATGTGACTGAAACCGGCCAGTAACGATTTTGTATTCGCTTGCTTTTTCACTTCTATTTGGTGCTTACTGATCATTTACTTTGGATTTGCATACAAATATGTAACAACAATAAACACAATGCTAAAGTGAGCGTATTCTGGTGAATGTTGAGTGTCTGACTCATGTTGTGTACCTGCAGGAAGAGGTTGACCTCCTCTAGTTTGTGTCGGATCTCCTGTCGGGCTCTTTCCTCCGTATCCCGGCGGTACTGCTCGGCCTGGCTCTGGCCCATCACACCGGCCTCCAGCTGCCGCCGCAGACTGGCCACCTCCTCCTCCAGCTGCCTCTTGCTGTGCTCCAGCTGCTCGTGGCTTCGGCTCAGGCTCTTCACAGACGACAGCTTCTCCTTCATCTGTCTGTTCCCCTCCTCCAGCCGCGAGCAGCGCGACGCCTCCCGCTCGTACTGAGACTGCAGCTCATCCACCTGTGTCAGAGGAAGATGGCAACAGGTTCGGACGCGAGCAGAACAGGAGGAAATAAAGAGACTATACCAAGTTTGCTTGCTTTTATCTCATCTGATAGTCTTAAAAATGACCAAAAATGTTGCAAAGGTCTGTAAATGGCTAAAGCTGAGACTGTACCCGAGTCTTCATTCTGCTGACGGCGCTCTCTGCCTCCAGACGGTGGCTCATGTCTGCTCTGAAGCTGCCCAGAGGAGAGTCCAGCTGTCCACCGCCCTGTTCCCGCAGCTGCTTCTTAGCGGTTTTCAACAGTGTCTTCAACCTGACACACACAGAAAGAGAGACTGAAATTAGAGACATTCTGTATCAGTGTTGTTATTGTTTTTTTATTTTCATATATGAAACCATGATCCGCACTCACATGGTCTTCTTTCTTCCTGCTAGTGATGAATGTAAAATAAAACGTTAAATGAAGACTATTTTTGTTAGTGCCGGTCATTGTTTCTTATACGAAGTAATTAAATAGATCGATGCACCAAAATAAAGTATCACATGACAAAAGAGCGCGGTGCAAACAGCTTTGTAGACTTTTTTTTGTTATAAATTGAAATAAACCTGAAATAAAATAAAATATAAATATTTGATGCAAAATGCAAATGAAGAATTAGAAATGTTGGTTTAGCAGCTAAATTAAGTTCTAAAATGACCAAAACTGAAAAAAAATGATTAAAGCTAAATAGAAATACTTAATACAAACTAATAAAAATGACAAAAATACAAAACAAATTTACTTAATGTAAAATTAAATGAAAAATAAAAACAAAAGCTTATTATTAATAAGTATTAATATACAAGATAAATAAATATTGTAATAGAATTTATAAATTAAATAAATAATATTATAATAGAGTATTTTTTTTAAAAGAACACTGCTGCTTGCATTTGAAGTCAATTAAACCATGAGATATAGGTACCTATGTCCTGTGTGTGTGTATATATATATATATTATTTAATACAAGCTAAAAACATTACAAAAGCTCATAACAAAATTAAAATATAAAACAAAAGGCTATTATCAATAAATATCAATATATACAACACATTAATAAATAATATAATTGTATATAAGTACTTAGGGCTGGGCGATATGGCCAAAAAAATTATCACGATAATTTTTTTCATATCAGTAGATATCAATAATTATCACGATAAATGTCAAATCTTTATTTCTTTCAAGTTTAAAGCCAGATTTTTGCTCCAAAGTGAAAGTTGTAGAAACAAGACCATTAATTTTCCTTAACAAAATAAATATCTGAATAGAAAAATGAATTTCTTAGTTTCTGCATGTCCTAATGAGTGATATTGTTTCAAATCAAGAAACAGATAATAACAGCTGATAATATTAATAATATCATCACTTTTTTGTCTCTTAGAAATGCACATTTAATAGTAGCTTGAGCTAGGATGCAGAGGTAAATTTTTGTTCATTATCAAAATCAGTCACATCTGTAAAAATAAAATGGTAGCAACCTCAGTTTTATATGGTACAATTTTTTTTTTAAATTAAGCATTGGTCTCCCATAGTAGCATACATTTAAATCATGATAAACACAGTTAAAACCACACATATAGCACCTAAATGCCATGGTAAAAATATAACTATGAAAAACAGTAGTCTAAAAACATTCAATATAAATGCACACATACTATAGCTTAATCAAATACATACTATAATTATATACTATTACTCCTGTAATAAAATTTAGTGTGAATATCCCAAATTTCTGCCACAATACCATGGTGCAGTGAATGTTACTACAGTAAATCCATGGTAAATGATGGCGATGTGTCGCGCTGTTTCGTTCCGCTACTGGCGCAAAAACATTATATCGAACATTTATCGAACTCTCCATATCGAGGAAAATTATATCGCAATAATTATAGCCCAGCCCTATAAGTACTATATATATTAGTCAACAAAGGTCTTACTGTGATTGTGATTTCTTTATAATCTTTCACTAAAATGAAATAACCTGCTCCACCAGTTAAACAACTTGGTTTTTAAATGATCCCTCTTACTTTTTCTCATTTCCACCATAATTAACATGGACAAAAAGAATAATGACATGATTATTTGTGCTGTCAAATATCCTGTTACACTTTTTTCTAAATATATCAGTTTTCAAATGCTGTTTGAAGGTTTTTCGCACTATACACACAGCTGTAAGTCATTCTGCAGCACTGCAGCAGCACAAAAGACAGGCTTGGAGTCGGTCCTCCTAAGATAAAGCAATGTGCACTGTATGTGTGTGTCTCACAGATTCACAAGCAGGAGGATCCGCATAGCCGGCTTCTCTACATACTCAAACACGTCTACAGGTGCAGAGCTGCAGCAGTCGGGTTAAAGGTTAAAGGTTAAAGGGTCACCTGTACATTTCCTTCTGAAGGTCAGTGTTTCTCTTCATCTCCTGCTCCAGACGGGTGTCCACAGATTTCTTCTGCTCAGCTAGTTTTTTGGCCTTTTTCTTCTCGAGCTCCATCTAAAATACAGAGAGAGGACGCATTTGTTAGATACTCTTGGCCACAAGACACTTTGGCATGTGTTCCACTGTGTGATATGAAATATCACCAATAATATTTTCATCTAATAATATTTTTAACAATATATTCCTCTATACATACACTACCATTCAAAGTTTGGGGTCGGTACAATTTATGTTTTTGATGTTTTTGAAAGAAGTCTCTTCTGCTCACCAAGGTTGAATTAGTTGATCAGAAATACAGAAAAATTTTGAAATATCATTACAATTTAAAAGAACAGTTTTCTATTTGAATATATTGTAAAATGTAATCAATTGCTATGATCAAAGCTGAATTTTTTGCATCATTACTCCAGTCTTCAGTGTCACATGATCCTTCAGAAATCATTCTGATATACTGATTTGCTGCTCAAGAAACATTTGATTATTATCAATGTTGAAAACAGTTGTGCTGCTTCATATTTTTGTGGAAAACATACTTTTAAAAAAAAATTCTTTAATGAATAGGAAGTTCAAAAGAACAGCATTTATTTTAAATCTTTTGTAACATTATTAATAATTTTACTGACACTTTTGATCAATTTAATGAATCCTTGCTGAATAAAAGTATTTATATCTTTATTTAAAAGAAAAAACTGAAAAACGAAATAAATGTATTGACCCCAAATGACTGAATGGTACTGCATTATATAAATTTCAAAGTAAAAGAACAAACATTCATTCCATATTTTATGAAAATATCACGTGTAATTCAATGACACATTTTGGATGGGCATTATTGTGTCTTTCTGGCACCTGATTGGTCAGTTCTCCTTTCTCTTTCTCCAGCTCAGAGAGGCGGAGTCCCAGTCGTGAGCGGCTCTTTAGCTCCTCCTCCCACAGTGCTTGTGAGTCCTGGGCATTATGGGATAGCATACTCTGCTTCTGCACCTGGAGAGGAGGACCGCAACGAAAAAACAGACAATATTTTCCTGTAGCACTACGAATCAGGGTTATTATCCCTAACTATATCAAAGACTAAAAAAAGAGAGAAAAAAAACACACACACATCAAGGGATAGTTCACCCAAAAAATAAAATTCTGTCATTAATTACTCACCCCAATGTCGTTCCAAACCCGTAAGACCTTCGTTCAGCTTCTGAACACAAATTAAGATATTTTTGATGAAATCTTTTCAAAAAATATTCTCGTAGCTTCGGAAAATTACATTTGAACCACTGATGTCCCATGGACTTTTACCGATGTCCTTGCTACATTTCTGAGCCTGGGAACATTGCAGTTGTGTTGCTGTCTATGGAGGGTCAGAGAGCTCTCGGATTTGTGTTTTGGAAATGAACGAAGGTCTTACGGGTTTGGAACGACATGAGGGTGAGTAATTAATGACAGAATTTTAATTTTTGGGCGAACTATCCCTTTAAGGTAAAGTACTAAAATTAAATAAATACTTTTTTTTTTTTTTTTACTAAAAACATATATTTTTAGTAACAAAATTACTAAAACTTTCTCTAGAATTAAAATGAATAAGAAAATCAACAAAAAAAAATCAAATTTAAAATATTAACAAACACTAATAGCATATCAGTGATACTAAAATATCACTGCTATGAATAAACTGAAATTCAGTTTCTCAGTCTATCCTCTCTTCATCCATTGCATTTAGATGAAGCTCAATGTGACAGGTTTATTATAAAGTTCACCTCTTGGTTGAGTTGTTCTTCTAGCGTCATCTTACTGCTCTGCAGGTTTGTGACGAGATCTTCCAAACGATTCCTGACCTGACAACCATCACAGATGTCAATATGCAACAGGATCTTGCTGATGGGTTCAATTCACTCTCTGAACAAAGTACTTCATGCAGATCTAAATCTACTTTAGATCTCAGAAACCAGAAATGCAGAAGGTAGAGAGTTTACAATCAATGCAAATCAACCTAAACCCTAACCCACCACCAAAATGGAGAAAATACCCAACTAACAACCATACTAGAGAAAAGCAATAAAGCATACAGACACTTTATTGTTTCTTGTTCATTTCAAGAGTAAATCACAGTAAGATTTGAGATCCTGAAGAGCTGTAATTCAGTGAAGAAAGAAGAACCAAAAAAGGGAACTGTTAGAATCACAGCTAGATGTTGGATACCAACCCCTTCTCCAGGTGATGAGCCTGATAGCTGTGAAAAGACCGACTACATCAGTTTACATGAAATCTCCTCTCTGACTGACTCACATGTACAGTTGAGCTCATTCTGCACTGGCACATTTAAACAGAGTTCATCTAAAGTGAAGCTCAGATGACTTAAGAGAGTAAAAGGAGGTTCTGTCAGGATTAATGTCTAAATCTACCATCATCAGCTGAGTCAGGACAGAGAACTCACCACAGCACCCTCCTGAACACCCTTCTGTAGCACCTCAATGCGGTTGGTCTGTTGTTTGGCCATGGCCTCCAGTCTGGCGTTCTCTATCTCTAACCTGCAGAGATATCATAATCACATGAACCAAGATCAGATAGCTTAGAAGTTGATTACAGTTAATAATGATGGACACTTTTGTGTTGTTTAGCTGATGGATGTAAGATAATAGAGAACCAGGTGCTTCATTTGAATGCACTTTTATTACAAAAATGTAAAAGTATGCAATAAATGGCATTACTGAAATATTTAAATATGGAAACAAATATATTATTCCAATGAAATACTTTAATATTATGCAACAAATTATTACTTAAATATATCAATATTAATATAAATATATTTTGAAAATATTAAATATATTTATGTATATTATAAAATATAAGAATATAAATATATAAATGTATATATACGTAAATATTTTTTTAAATATACTCTATGTGTGTGTCTTTATATATGCATAATAAATATACACAGTAGACATACATATATTATGTAAACAAAAACTTCTATTTTGGATCCAATTAATCGCGATTAATCGTATGACAGCACTAATATATACACACATATACATGCATTATTTTCTGTAATAAACGGTGTGATTTTAATTCTTCACGTCACTGATATCAGTACCATTGTTGTTACAGTGCAACCTATTATGTGAAGCCAATGAGTGAGTGTTTCTGGACCCAGTTTACACAAATTAATGGTACCTCTGCACCGCCTCCTCCAGCTGTTTAATGGTTTGCTCTTTGCCTGTAGAAGCAGCTAGCGCCTCCTCTAGTTTCTGAGCTGTACTGCAGGCTTCTCGCTCCTTATCGTCCAGAGAGCTCTTCAGCTGGCTGATGCGTTTCTCAGCCTGGACGTACACTTCCTCAGATTCCTGCAGCTGCAATTGAACACAAACAGAGTATAAGAGCAAGCAACTTGTAGTGTGGTGAGTGGTGACCCCACTTTTTTATATTGCTGAATTCAATAAATGAACATATATTGTTCAGGGAATGAAGGTACTCCGGTTAAACACAGATTGTACTGATAATAACTGACACCAAACTGACCGGACAGTTTTCAGGGAGTATAAGAAGATTAACGGTTACCTTTCCCTTCAATCTGTCCATGTCCTTGAGTGTGCGTGCCTTCTCTTCCTCGAGATCATTGCGGTACCGTGTGTTGACCTCCAGAGAAGCCTCACACATGGACAGCTTCTTCAGACAGTCAGCCAGCTCCTGCTGCAGCTGCCTCAGAGAAGCCTGCAAAAACAAAAACAGCTTAATGCTCTCATTGGATATCTAAAAATAAATGTATAACCTAAAATACCTATAATCTTTTTTTATTATATTTATCATATTATTATGTGTTATTGTTTTACATATATATTTTTACTATTATTTTATTATTTAAAATGTGTTTAATTATTTTTGCATGAATTGTATTAATTATTTTAACAACTTTTGACCACTGCTTAATCAATTAAATATTTCTGGTGTGTTGTATATATCTTTGTATTTAACCTTTATGTATGTGCAATTATCATGATTATTATTATTAAAATATATCAAATATATTACAAAATTTATTAAAAAATTGTTTTTAATTAAAATATTTATTTTAAAAAATTAATTCTTTATATATTAAAACAATATATTGAATTTGACACATATTTGTGTGTGTGTGTGTGTGTGTGTGTGTATGTATATATATATATTTATATAAAGCCCTTTAGTGACACAACAGGATGTTGGATGTTCTTCACTTACAGTAAATGCAGTGATACAGCTATTTCTAAAGAAAAAAACACGAGACAATCTCGGTGTCCTCTACCTCTCTCTCAGCTTTCTCCTGCTCTAGTTTGTAGTTCTGCTCTCTCAGCTCGCTGTTCGTCTTCGCTAGCTCTTTGCTTCTCTCCTCCACCAGGTGGACTCTCTCCTCTCCGTCTGCACGTATCTGGTTCAGCATTTCTGCAAAGTTTTGGTGCACATCTGTAACAGCTTTATCCTTCGCAGAGCCCTTGTTGAGCGCCTCCTCCAGCTGTTGTCGTAGTAGCGCGTTCTCGCTCTGAGCCTGGGCCAGTCTCTCCTGCATGGCTTCCTGTTTGGCCCCGGCACGGCTGGCCTGCTCCCGTTCACTCAGTGCCGTGGCCTCCAGTTCTTTGAGTTTGGCCAGGGCCTGGTCTTTCTCCCGGGCCAGAGTCTCCAACAACACGCCTTTCTCAGCGACGGTCAGAGCATTACGGTGACACTCGTTCTCGAAGCTGTTGGCACGCGCCTCGGCCTTGCTGAGTTTCTGGGACAGGGACTGGATGGTGTCCCGTTGTGTACTGGACTCAAAGATGTGCTTTTCCTGCGCCCGCTGGTGCTCCTCACGGTCTCGCTGGAGAGTGCGCTCTGCATCCGTGCGTGAGGTCTGAGCGGTTGCAACAATAATAAAAGACAAATTGATAGCAGTTCCTAAAATCCCTTCCCTTTGGTTGAACAAAAAAAAAACCCTGAAGCTTACCTGGCATCTCTCGGCCTCCTGTAGCGCCGCTTGAAGTCGTGCTCTGCTCGCCTCAGCCTCGGCCTCCAGTTGCTGCCTCACATGCCTCTCGTGATCCAGTTTGGCCGTGATCACTGAGCATTCGGCCTTCAGCGCGCTCAGCTGCCCGTTGTATTGGAATACGGTCTGGGCCAAGGCCTCCTCGCTCAGTTTCATGTCCCTGCGGGCGTCCTCCAGTCTCTCGCGCAGGGCGTCACGCTCCTCCGCCAGCTGTGACTCTTCCTGTCGGCTGTGGCACTGCGAGCGGTCCAGCTCAGCCCGAGCTGCGTTCAGTTCATCCAGTAGGGCTCGATTTTGTTGCATCAACTCTCGCTCACGGTCTGACGCCTCTGTTAGCTGGGACATGGCCTGAGCACAGCATCAGAAATGAACTCCGTTTAACAAGAGACAAACACATTTTAGCATTTTGTTTTTATTATATAATTTTTTTTAAACGACAGAGCATGTGGCCTAGTTGCAACAGAGTGATTGGCTCTATAACTGTAAGTTAATGCCTAAGTGCAGGTCATTAGGACAAAGCCTGAAAATCAGACCAATCACATGTCAGCAAAAAAGATTAGAGCAATTGGGTTACATAGAAGATCTGCTGACTGTGTTTTATATGCGGTAAACCTAAATCATGAAGTTCATGTATTTGATTTTAAAGTATTTGATTTAGGAAAATTGGCCATTTGTTCTCAATTATGCTCAATTATGACCAGGGCCGTCCTTAGCTGACGTGGGGCCCGGTGCGAGGTAGGGAGCGGGGCCCGGTGCGTGTGCACCAGTTGCACCCCCTAAAGGACAGCCCTGAATATGACGTCACTGCATACTTGACCGTAAAGATATGAAATCACTGCATATTGGTAAATTTGTTCTCAATTATGTTCATATTCATGGTTTCTTGGTTGGAATGTGCATATTGTAAAGCTATGATGTTGCTTTATGTGTCAGTAAACTATGACTTAACTACCAGTGTAGGGTAATTTACTATAAAAAAAGTAATTAATTACTACTAGTTACTAATTACATCTTTAACAGTATATTAGATTACTGTACAAATTACTCTCTCCAAAAAGTATTTTTATTACTTATTGTTAAATCCTATATCAACCTCGACAAGTTAATGATACAAGGATAGACATGAAAAGGTTCTTTTGATTCTTTCAAATAAATAATAGATAACTACATAAATTATTCTGGTCACACTTTAGATTAGAGTCCAATTCTCACTATTAACTAACTATTAACTATGACTTTTGCCTCAATATACTCCTAATTACTGCTTATTAATACTTAGTAAAGTAGTTGTTAAGTTTAAGAATTGGGTAGCGTTAAGGATTTAAAATAAGGTCTTGCAGAATAAGACATTAATATGTGTTTTTTTAAAGTAATAATAAGCAGCCAATATCCCAGTCATATTCATGCTATAATCAACTAGTTAATAGTGAGAATTGGACACTAAGTGTTACCACAATTTTTATTAACTCACCAAAGTATTTAAAGTGAGAAGGGTACCCAAAAAGCATGCATTTTAAGGTTAGAGTTAAAATTTTTATGTTAAATCCACTATTGTATTGTATTCTATAATGGTCTATAGTCTATAAGTTCAATTACATAAGACGTAACTGTATTTAAATTACAGAAAAAAATGAGAGTAATCCATTACTTTACTTTTTCTAGGGAAAAGTACCGGTAATTAAATTACAGTAACTAATTACTTGTTAACTAATTACACCCAACACTGGTAACTACATATGTGCTTGCAAAGATACTATATAACTGCATATTGGTAATTTGCTGTATTAAGCTCATGGTCTTCATGGTTTCTCAGATGTGATAAATAATATAAGGCCATAAAACTATGACGACACTGCATACATCTGTAAAGCTATGACATTACTGCATATTTGACAGTAAAACTATGTCATCACAGCGTATGTGATTGTAAATTTCTGATATTAATAATTGTATAACTGTAAATCTATGATAACACTGCATATTTGTCTGTTAAGCTATGATGTCACAGCATATGTGGCTGTAATGCTATGACGACACTGCATTTGTGGAAGTAAAACTATGACATCACTGCATATACGGCTGTAAAGCTATGACATCATCAGCACTGCATGTGTGGCCATAAAACGGTGACATCACTGCATATGTGACTATATTCCCTGGCAAACACATATATAGTTGGTGTTTGAGAAGGTGACAGCAGTACCTCATTGCTCTTGTTGAGGTTTCGGAGGTTCTCCTCCTCAATGTCCTGCTGCTTACGCAGGTGGTTGCTGAGTAACTCCTCCTGTAGGGCACGAGCACTGCGCTCATGAGATAGGAGACGCTGAGACTCATCTCTGTCCTCTTCAATCTAAACACACAAACACACACACTGTTCAGCAAACTGTGTTACGGGCTGGTTTTACCAGCTAAATCTAACAGTCTGCTGCTGTTGACCTGTTTGATGCTGTTCTTCAGGGTTCTGATCTCCAGTTCCAGACTGCGAACTTTCAGCTCGGCTTTGTGACGTTCCTCGGCCTCGGCTCGCTGCTGCTCCTCTTTCCTCTGGAGCTGCTCACGGGTTTTATTATACAGCATGAGAGCGCTCTGATGCTTTTCCTGTTCCTGTCTCAAAAGGAACCTTCCATGAGAGGAGAGAGAGAGAGAAGAGAGAAGAGAGTCAACGTCACAAACCCCAGTGAGCTGCAGACCTCCTTCCACATGCACTGAGTTGAGCTCACTTGAGATTGTTCATATCTGTTTCCAGCTCCAGTTTAAGATGTTCTAGGCTGGACTTGCTGCCTCTGATCTCATCCAGCAGGATCTTGAGCTCGTTGCGTTCCTGCTCCAGCTGAGAGGTTTTATCCGCCAGACGGCTGTGTCTGTCTCTCTCCCTCTGGATGGTGCGTTCATACTCATGAAACATGTTCTGTAGTTTCACCACACTCACAGAGTCTGCAGGATAGACATTAGATATAGGTGCACATCTTAATTTTCTGTACATCTGAACTTAACTGTTTGCTTTCAGCTGACTGGAGCTGACCGACTCACCCAGATAGCTTGAGTCGAGTTGTTTGAAGAGCAGAGAGGCATTGCGGTATCCAGATACTGGAGTCTCCAGCTCCTCAGTAGCTGTGTCAGAAGACTGGGTGAGATCTTCAAAATCATCCGCCATTTCCAGCTCTCCAGTGCTCTGCATAGGAGACATTAAAGTCAATGCAACACATGCGTGACACCGAGTAGGGGTCGACGGATGTGTGTTTTTCAGGGCCTGATTTTTTCCAGTGTTTTTCAGATACTGATTATTAAACCGATATTTAGAACAGATATATATGTCTGGTGTAAAAATGAAAAACAATGTCAAAATTAAGAATAACAAGGGCTCTGACAAACACTTTCTTTAAATGCTTTAAAATTATTTTATCGGCAAATTGGTTGTGAAAATGAACGATACCGATAACCATAAAAATGCTTAATATCGGCGCCAATAATCGCTTGACCCATAACATTGAGTATTCTGTGTTAAACTGGTAAATATGAGTAACAACTTCATATTCTCAAAAGTCAGAGCGCAGTTTGGTAACCACTGTCTTAAAACATTAAACGAACACTCATATTTAGAGGTTTACCTTATCAGGACAAAAGCTCACCTGTTCTTTCTTACGCCTTAAAGACGGGGACCTGCCAGAACAAAGAGAAAACATGGTTTAAGCTTTATCAGACAATACCAGCCTACCGGAGAGCAACTTTGGTGCTCTAAAATGAGGATATAATGCAGTATTCCCTTTAAAAAAATGAACGTAATAACAAGGCCCATAAGGAATCTGCCCACTTTTTTTTGTTTTCATTTATTCTGCACTGATTGTTAGTGCAAGCATTGCATGTGTAAATATTACAGTATTCAGTGTTCAAATTTGGTAGAGTTCTGTGTTGCTGTGTGAATATTGCTGCTGCAACATCAATGTCCTGCAACATTGCAGCATATAAAATTGAGCTGTAAATAATACATTACATTAAAAAGCATGTAAATACTGCATGTATACCTCCTGTCCTCTTCCGACAGCTCACTTAAAGTACTATCATCAAAGACCGACTCGAGGTCTCCATTATGGCGGGTCGCAGGTCGGGAGGGTTTGCCCTGCAGAGGGGGAGCTACATGGAGATTTCTGGCTTGGCTACCTACAGTTTTCTTTTCTTCCTCCTCATCTTCCTCACCATGTGGTGGTGCTCTGTTAGTACTGGAGGTGCACAGATCTCATCATGAAGTTTGAACAAAAAATTGGCAACTGCATGCCCTCCACCAGGGAAACACCCAGACATAAAAAAGCAATGTTGACACCAGAAGCAAATTCAAAGCTTCAGCAAAAGCCTGGTGGCAATATTGTTGTGTTCTATTAGCATGAAACGTAACTGACAAAATAAAAATAACACAACACTTGCATACCATGATTATATATTTTTTATTATGCATGCATATACTTTAGAAATAGAATGAAAATAAATTTGTAAAAATGTGTTTTGATCTATCAGCCATGGCTGTTTGCTTAAAGCTCTTTACTTCAAGGTGTCCTCAGTAACTTTTTTTAAGTAATATTTTAAATAAAATAAAATAAAAATCAAGTTCTTCTACGTGATTGGATCACAAAAACATCTCCCTTCACATTAATTCCATCTAGTAATGTGACATATGTACCTTCTCGGACTTCTTGTCAGATGTCTTGGTGAAACACTACCCTCTCTTCCCAAAGACCTGCTGTCAGCCATCCCTTCCTGTTTAGGTTTTGGGTTCCCAGAGTTAGTGTCAATTTTCTTCCCTTTTCCTTGGTCAAGTTCACCTCGTTCTCTGGTTCCTCTAGTATCCCATAAAGCACTGGGCTGGTGTTCTCCCCTCACGCCATCCGCCTGTTCCTTGCCACCCTAAAAAAGAAGATATTATTTGTTGAGAGAGTTTAAAACATATGCACTTAAGCATTACTCTAAGAGCAAAATTTAATTCTATATTTAAAACTACTTCTGGGAAATGTTTAAGAATGTGTTGATTTAGTCGATTGATCATGCAAAACATTCATGTACAGTCACATACAAGACAAAACTGAGCCAAACACCACACAATACATGTCTTCTTTTCTTATTTAAAAAGAAGCACTAGCAACATAAAACACACTTCAAGCCAACATCAACAGAGAAGTTCCAGGTTAAAAATTATTGTTGGAAACTCCTCTGTTGAGACGCATCATGAAAACACACACTAACACCAGTATGACAGATCTTCAGGAAGATGAGGAGAGATCTTCAGACAGCTAAAGGAAGCGATCCTTGGCACACATGCACACGACAGATGAGGTGTGAACTGAAGCCCAAGTGTGGCCTCAAGTGAAGCATTTGACACCACTGCATAAAATTAACTGATAAATATTTCATAAAGTGACAGACTGGATTCAAGACAAGTGAAGGTCAGGTCACACAAGTTAAAACATATACAGGACAAGACAGGACAACTGAAGACCCCATGAAATCAAACTTGGAGCCCATGTCTTTTTAAATCCTCCTAAAAGTCGAAGCAGTAATTGATCAGTTTGAGGAGCAAGAAGCAAGAAGCATACTACTGTCTAAAACAATTATTGTTGCACAATCAGCACAAGCTCATTACAAATACAGCCCAAACCATGGTTTTTCCAGGCTATGATATAAATAATAAAGGATGGCTGTTAAAAACAATAGAATGAAGTAAAACTAGTAAAAATCATTTTTTTCAGTAAATAAAGTAAAAACCTTGAAAATATGGAAATTAAATTTTGAATTGAATTTGAAATGAAAAGTTGAAGTACTAATATTACTAAAACCGACATAATACTAAATAAACAGTAAAACATAAATATAACAAAACATAACAAAATTATTAAAACTACAGTTGAATTATAAACTGAAAATATACAAATAAAAGCTCATTCAAAATATTAACAAATACTGTTATAGTATACGAATATTACTAAAATAATACTGATTTCATGGGGTCTTAAAATGCATGATGTAAATGATTTGAAAACACTGGAATTGAATGGGTAGTACAAAACATTTTGACAATAAGATAATAGCTCTGTTTCAAAAACTAGTGTGCTGCCTCACTGACTACTGCCTACATAGGCAGCTGCCTTCTAAGGTACCATGACAACCATCATAGAACATCATTAATGACTGATTTGAAAGATTTTATATAGGCAGAAACCTGCAATATGAAGCACATGGGAGACGCTTTCATTCTGCGAGTGAACATCGCTTTATTGTGCCATCCCAAAGAAGACAGCAAAATAAAAGTCATTTTATAAATGGATGATCTGGCCAGATTCCACAATTAGAAAATAAACCAGGAGGAGGATTAATTAATTGTGGCAAACCAGACAAGCGAAACCAATAAAAAAACAGATTACAAATTTTTGGTTAAAGGGTTAGTTCACCCCAAAATGAAAATTCTGTCATTAATTACTCACACTCATGTCGTTCTAAACCCGTAAGACCTTCGTTCATCTTCGGAACACAAATTAAGATATTTTTGATGGAATCTGAGAGCTCTCTGACCCTCCCAAAGACAGCAACGCAACTGAAATGTTCCCAGACAGAAACGTAGCAAGGACATCGGTAAAACAGTCCATGTGACATCAGTGGTTCAACTTCAATTTTGCAAAGCTATGAGAATACTTTTTGTGCGCAAAGAAAACAAAAATGACGACTTTATTCAACAATTCGTCTCCCCCGAGTTACTGTCTTCCGCCATTTTGGAGAGTATCACAACACATACGCACGCTTTACCCTAAGTGTAAACAACGCTGATTACGCCGATTACTTTCATGCGCGCACTTTCCCCCCTAACGTAAACAACGCCGATTACGTTCTTGGGTACTCTCCAAAATGGCAGAAGACGTAACTCGAGGGAGAAGAATTGTTAAATAAATTATGTTATTTTTGTTTTCTTTGCGCACAAAAAGTATTCTTGTAGCTTTGCAAAATTGAAGATGAACCACTGATGGTCACATGGATTATTTTACAGATCTCCTTGCTACGTTTCTGTCTGGGAACATTTCAGTTGCGTTGCTGTCTATGGAGGTTCAGAGAGCTATCAGATTCCATCAAAAATATCTTAATTTGTGTTCCGAAGATGAACGGAACAAGAGGAGAAAGCTGATGAGATTCCCTGGGAGGAACGCTATGAGAAAATCTGGGTGGATAATGAAAAAAAGGAGACCAAGTCCCAATATAAAAATGTGGCTGCTGAACTAAAAGAGAGGTTCGGAGAACTAGAGCACAAGGAACCACCAAGTGGGCTTTCGCAGCAGGAATGGAAAGAAGATGAACAATATGATGAGGAGTTAAAGAAAGAGGTGGAAAAGGAAGCAGAAGATGAAGATTCCAGTGAGGAAGAGGGAGAGCCAGTAGTGCGGCCCACCGCCCGGGCAAGAAGTGCCATACTTTTACCCATCCCAGAGCAGAGAGAATCAGGCCTGGAGGACTCGCAGTCTGAAAGTGTCCACCGCACGGTTAGTGTTGAGGTCAGCGATGCAGAGCTTCCCAGTGACCAACACAACCCTCAAATCATCCCAGAAGTCCTAACAGATGAGGCCCAGGAGCCAGAGAACCCAGCGTATGACATTGAGGAACCTGATAGTGGAAGCAAAGAAAAGTATCCACTAGATTCTGGAAGCAACGTAGATGAAGAACCTGGAGAACTTCACAGACCTTCATTGCTTGTTGAGAATGAGCTACAAGTCCCACCTAAATTTCTAGAAGTGCCCTCTTCTGACTCCGATGAGGTTGACAAGGGCTTGTGGAAGTCCAGACTTGAGGTAGGACCCCGGGAGGAGTCTCAGACAAGCTTATATAACGAATGAAGACTTTCAGTTTTGCCTCTGTCTTCTTGTTCTTCATTCACATAAACTCAAAATGTGAGGGCAAAGCTCCAGCTTCAAAAACAAAGCCTGTCATCTTGTAATGCTGCCCAGACACTGACGGGCCAAATTACACAGCTGTTCCCTATCTCTGGTTTTGCTAATCATTAGCTCTGTTCCAAACCTAGTGAGCTGCTTACCTAGACATGACATGCTTCTGATTATGTTGCCTTGTTTTGTCCAAAAACGTGTTTTTAAAAGTTTTTATAAGCTCTTTAACTGTACATTTGTGCTCATGTTGCAGTGCTTTGCAGCTAATGTAGCACATTTACTTAGAAAAACAATTATTGTAATTGTGTATTTGCAAATATTAGCATTTTATACAGTACTGAAAGTGTTGAAAAAAGGCCTACATTCTGTCATTAATTACTCACCCGCATGTCGTTCAAAACCCGTAAGACCTCCGTTCATCTTCGGAACACAAATTAAGATATTTTTGATGGAATCTGAGAGCTCTCTGACCCTCCCAAAGACAGCAACGCAACTGAAATGTTCCCAGACAGAAACGTAGCAAGGACATCGGTAAAACAGTCCATGTGACATCAGTGGTTCAACTTCAATTTTGCAAAGCTATGAGAATACTTTTTGTGCGCAAAGAAAACAAAAATGACGACTTTATTCAACAATTCGTCTCCCCCGAGTTACTGTCTTCCGCCATTTTGGAGAGTATCACAACACATACGCACGCTTTACCCTAAGTGTAAACAACGCTGATTACGCCGATTACTTTCATGCGCGCACTTTCCCCCCTAACGTAAACAATGCCGATTACGTTCTTGGGTACTCTCCAAAATGGCAGAAGACGTAACTCGAGGGAGAAGAATTGTTAAATAAATTATGTTATTTTTGTTTTCTTTGCGCACAAAAAGTATTCTTGTAGCTTTGCAAAATTGAAGATGAACCACTGATGGTCACATGGATTATTTTACAGATCTCCTTGCTACGTTTCTGTCTGGGAACATTTCAGTTGCGTTGCTGTCTATGGAGGTTCAGAGAGCTATCAGATTCCATCAAAAATATCTTAATTTGTGTTCCGAAGATGAACGGAGGTCTTACGGGTTTTGAACGACATGCGGGTGAGTAATTAATGACAGAATGTAGGCCTTTTTTCAACACTTTCAGTACTGTATAAAATGCTAATATTTGCAAATACACAATTACAATAATTGTTTTTCTAAGTAAATGTGCTACATTAGCTGCAAAGCACTGCAACATGAGCACAAATGTACAGTTAAAGAGCTTATAAAAACTTTTAAAAACACGTTTTTGGACAAAACAAGGCAACATAATCAGAAGCATGTCATGTCTAGGTAAGCAGCTCACTAGGTTTGGAACAGAGCTAATGATTAGCAAAACCAGAGATAGGGAACAGCTGTGTAATTTGGCCCGTCAGTGTCTGGGCAGCATTACAAGATGACAGGCTTTGTTTTTGAAGCTGGAGCTTTGCCCTCACATTTTGAGTTTATGTGAATGAAGAACAAGAAGACAGAGGCAAAACTGAAAGTCTTCATTCGTTATATAAGCTTGTCTGAGACTCCTCCCGGGGTCCTACCTCAAGTCTGGACTTCCACAAGCCCTTGTCAACCTCATCGGAGTCAGAAGAGGGCACTTCTAGAAATTTAGGTGGGACTTGTAGCTCATTCTCAACAAGCAATGAAGGTCTGTGAAGTTCTCCAGGTTCTTCATCTACGTTGCTTCCAGAATCTAGTGGATACTTTTCTTTGCTTCCACTATCAGGTTCCTCAATGTCATACGCTGGGTTCTCTGGCTCCTGGGCCTCATCTGTTAGGACTTCTGGGATGATTTGAGGGTTGTGTTGGTCACTGGGAAGCTCTGCATCGCTGACCTCAACACTAACCGTGCGGTGGACACTTTCAGACTGCGAGTCCTCCAGGCCTGATTCTCTCTGCTCTGGGATGGGTAAAAGTATGGCACTTCTTGCCCGGGCGGTGGGCCGCACTACTGGCTCTCCCTCTTCCTCACTGGAATCTTCATCTTCTGCTTCCTTTTCCACCTCTTTCTTTAACTCCTCATCATATTGTTCATCTTCTTTCCATTCCTGCTGCGAAAGCCCACTTGGTGGTTCCTTGTGCTCTAGTTCTCCGAACCTCTCTTTTAGTTCAGCAGCCACATTTTTATATTGGGACTTGGTCTCCTTTTTTTCATTATCCACCCAGATTTTCTCATAGCGTTCCTCCCAGGGAATCTCATCAGCTTTCTCCTCTTGTTCATCCTCTCTAGGAGAGGTTGGGCACTCCAGTGGTTCATGGTTAGATGGCCTATTTATGTCTACGGAAGATGCTTGTAATGCCTCTCTTGCCTTTGTTTGCACAATTAGACAAAAGAATAGAATTAACAATGAAAAACCAAACAAGTGTGGTTGACAAGGACTTCAGACCAAACATGAGACACATGCAAGTGACTCGTGCCAACATTTAAACTGTATCACTGTCACAAACACCATATTTAACTAAAATAAAGCACAAAAGAAACATGTGGTGACATTAAAGACCAAATCCACTGAAGAAAACATCACTGGAGCTTCCAACAGGCTAAAGACTGTATTTTCAACATTTAATTTAATAAGAGGCAGAGTTTTATTAAAGGCATATTCTTTCAATTTAAAATAAATTAATAAAACGATAGAAATGAAAATCTGATCAAGTTTTTCCATAAGTCGCTGAAAAACTACAGTATACTGTTTTTCCCTAGCAAATTAAATAAAAAGTATTTGCAATACTAAATGCAATTAAATACAAATGTAAAAAAGAAATAGCAACAACATTTTTAAAAAAGATTTCTTTTTAAAGAAATGTTCTTAATGCTAAAGCAAGAACAGTGACATAATTCAAATTAAAATGTAAAGTTTTGGGTTTTATTTTATCTTTTATTTCAATCATCAGTCAACCTGTATGTAAATTCTGCTAATCAGTAGGTGGGTCTTGAGTGCTCTTTTAGATTGCTTTAATTGTTTAATTTTGTTTTATTTTTAATTTTGGCACATAGATTGCAGACATTTTCAATAATGAAATGCTTAATCAGATTTTTATTTTTATCTTATTTAAAGTTGGTAGAATTCAGAGCTGTTTTTTTTCTTCTATGAATCGCCCACCTGATCTACATCTTCGCTTGCGTCAGAACTGTCTTCACTCTCGGCATCTTCAGCTTTGGGTTTCTGCCAATGAACTAAAGAGAAATTCAGACAAGTTACTATGTAATATAAAATACAGTGGGAAGTATTAAACCCTGAGCGTTCACCCTCACAGTTTTACCTGCATCAGGCTCAGCGACATTTGGCAGTGAAGCTTTCTTTTTGGCTGGACTGGAAGTGTCCGTATCCCAGTCCGATTCTGTAAATAAATAAGTACTGTAATCAGCATATATATTTATTGAACTTAATCTAAGATTTGTAGTTTCTGAGTTCTACCTTCACTCTCTGGCATCTGACTGGAGTCCAAGCGCAGCCGTGGCAGTGGCTGCGGTTTTGAGCTGGCGTTTGGGTTGAGAGATCGTAGACTAGGTAGAGGTGTTGTGCTCGAGGTTGTGGGTTTGTTTCTCTCTGGATTGGCTTCTTTATGTTCCCTGGTGTCCATGTCCTGTTGCTGAGGTGTTATGGGTAGCGTGGAAGATGCTGGGCTTTCAAAGAGGGGTTCCTCGTCTAGCTTATGAACTGGGTAGTTCTTACTGGCCTTACTGGTGGTGCTGGCGGAGTCCCAGTCTGAAGCATCTATGTGAGGCAGTTAAAATAAATGAAAAATGCAAGCCTAAAAGAGGCTGTCTTCACCGCCAGTGTGTAATTGAAAAGTTTATTGACATTCTGACTGAAGATCTTTCAAGCTAATCAGGTTCAGAAAGAGTGTTTTTAAAGGGGTCATATGATGTTGCTAAAAAGAACATTATTTTGTGTATTTGGTGTAATGAAATGTGTTTATGCGGTTTAAGGTTAAAAAAAAACATTATTTTCCACATACTGTACATTATTGTTTAGGGATGCACGATATATCGGCCACCATATCGGTATCGGCCCATATCGGCTCATTTTTTCTGTTATCGGTATCGGCCTGATAAGAAAATTTGGCCGATATCTTAAAGCCGATAAATAATGCATTATTTCCTTCAGAGACACTTCAGATGCGCGCTGTTCGTTTGCAGCCTTTTGTGCAATTGTACATTGTAATATTGTGTTTATTTGATGTATATCTGATTTATCTCATAGAATGCGTTTGGTTAAGTTAAAAGAGCGCTTCAGTTTACCGGTGATCATCTTTAGCTCAGCACACGCAGCTCAAACAGCAGTGCACAACATTAATAACTATGATTGGGAATGTCGTGTATATAACATTCTAATGAGAACATTATTATAATAAAACGTTGTGAATTCTTTGGGTTTAGTTGCCGTGTTTCAGCGCGTTGTTATGGGAAGAGCGCATCCACAACAGGATCACACATTCTGACTATAGCACGCAATAACTGCATCATTTTGAACATATATAAGTTGTAATATTATGTTTATGTTGAATTAACATCAATCTCAGGATGCATTTCCTTTTGGAAGACCAAACAAAGTATTTTTGCTTTCGCAATGAAACACACAACGTGGCGGCGGTGGCAGCAACAATAAAGTTACACCTTCTTTCTTTGCATTAACATTTGTGCGGCGTTATGCAAATCTTCCCACATCGTGACATAGACATGTGGGGGCGTGTTAGAACGAGCCGTTTTAGGGGGGGGTGGACCAGTCTTAACTTTTATAAAGAATATCTCTTTGGGTTTGAGACTTTAGTCTTTGCAACTTTAGGGATCTTTTCTATTCACAAACAGCTTGTAACACTCCAAAGAGTAAGGAAAACTTGAAATCGCATCATATGACCCCTTTAAATGTATATATTATATAAAATATGTATTTATTTTCAGCCTTTTTGCCATTTGACAGAAGCCAGTTGAGAAAGGACAGGGAATCATGTGGAAAAAGGCCAGGCAAACAGGAAAATGGCAAAATTCGAACTGAAACTTGTGTCGCTCGCGGCATGTGTGATATTAGCAAGTATCAGCAGAACTATCAATGAACTAATGGAAGTACACAGAGAATAAGTGCTTGAGTATCTGACCTGGAGGCCACAATTTGTGTAAATTAAGACAAATGCATGAACACATCAGACATACAAAACATTCATTGAATGCAAAATTTGATTCAGGAAATGTTTTAGAGAAGGAAAAATATCAAGATTACCTTCAAGATCATCAGCATCCCCCAAACCAAGCTCTTCCATCAGGTCTGTAAGAACAGAGATGTTTAAATGAGAAGCCAAATGTGTTACAACATAATTTAATTGTTGTGTTAAAAATAAAAAAAAAGGAGATGACCTGTTTTCTTATTAGCTTCTTTTGAATCCATCAGCTTACTAAGAACAGAGACAGGCTCCCTTTTGATCACTTTGGGCTGTGAGGAAAAGTTACATTTATTAATATATTCAGAAGTTTCAAAAAATATTATTTATTTATATTTATGAATTCACATTAACATTCATGCAGTTGGCAGACGCCTTTCATCCAAAGCGACTTACACTGCAAATGTTTTTTTAATCAGATCATGCTTTTCCTGAAATTGAACCCATGACCTTGGTGTTACTAGCACTTTCTCTACTATTTGTGCTACATTAATATTTTATCAGTATAATTCACAATTTTTCTTCAATTAAATCAGGTGTTACTGCTAAACATACAGACTTTATTTAAACTTTATTTTGTAGATAATTTCAGTATGGTTTTTTTTTTGTAAACATTACACATTGACTTTATTAACAATCTAATCATTCATGTATTTTACCAAAAAACTGCATAGCAAAAATTGTTTCTTCATTTGGAAAAAGCAAATCAAGTTCAAAAACGTTCAAAATGTTGCTTACTGGTATTTCGGTTTCCTTCTCTTCTTCATCATCATCTTCGTCATTTCTTAAAACTGAAAGGCAAGAAGGGACAATGTTCAAAACTCCCCTCAAAAAACATGAAAATCAACGGACAAAGGCAAGCTTCCATGTTACGAGTGTGCAGGCATGCACATGCAGCGATGGAGATCTCCCATGATGCCTGTGAACTGGGGTTTGAGAGTGACCAAATACTCAAACACAATAAAGGAAAGTTCATTTCAATGAATTCATCTTGTAAACATGAGCAAAAATAATGGACCTTTCCCACTAAAGCATGTATTAGTTGAGCATCATGCCATGTCACATCACATGCCTTGAATGCACAGATGACAATAGATGCATAAGATAAGAGATCAGGATCCGAGGACAAGGTGTTAATGTGATGGCTATAACAGTGATGATTAATCCAGCAGGACAACAGCAAATCATGAATGCCTACCCATCGGCCTGCAGCCTCCTGGCTGGCCTATACTTCTCAATAAATTAATGTTCCTCCCTCCTCTTACGAAGGAGGGAACGTATAAGAAGTCTACAAAGGAATTTAATGAGATTATGAAATGCAAATCTACAAATAACCTAAACTTTGCATAATTTAGCATAGCAAGTCTTGTAAAAACATCTGTTAAGCAGAAGCAATGGAAAATGTCAATCTTTTGCATATTTTCAAGCATGAAATGATTGCAGAAGGCTACACAGACAAAGCTATTATGGTATTCCATTCTAAAATGCAATCATATTTTTATGTAGTAAAAAAAAATCACTAGACATGCCTTACATACCTTCAGTGTTCTCCTCACAAATACTGTACATAGATCTATGTGATTTGGCGGTAGTGTGTTGAGCACTGGCCTGTTTCTTCTGTGGGCTCTCAGAACCAGACTGCGAGGAGAAAATGAGAGAACATCAGGATGAAATGTGGTCACAGATGACCTTGATGAACAGAGGATCACAACCTGTTTTTTTTTTCACATTTTAAATTAATACAAATTAATCTCTACATTTTTACATAATTAAACAACTGTATGTGTATCGTTATAAATTAATTTAATGAAAAATAATTGTTAAATTACATAATTATTTATTAAATGTATATTTATACATTTTACTTATTTAATAAATACAAATTAATTTCTACCTTTTTAAATAATGAAATCATTTTGTTTTACTTTTATTTATTTCATAATTTCATGAAATATACAGTAATTGTTAAATAATATCATTATTTATTAAATATAACTAAAATTTATTTACCTATAAATATAAATTCATTTTTACATTTTTAAATAATTAAAACAACTTTAAGTGTATAGTTTTATGTTTATTTATTTCATGTAAAATAATATAATTATTATTAAATATAACTACAATATATTTAACTTATTTATTTGAATAATTTCATATCCCTTTTCAGGGTTTCTACAGACATGAACAAGTTAAATTTAAGACTTTTTAAGACCTTTTCAATACCACCAAAGAAGTGAAATAAAGTGCATCCATCCATTAAAAAAAGTGTCTCACACGGCTCTGGGGGATGAACAAAGGCCTCCTGTAGCGAATCGATGCATTTTTGTAAGAAAAATAACCATATTCAAAACGTAATAATCACTTTAATCTAGCTTGCACTCACTGTTGTACACGGAAGCAGTTCCGGGCGGATGATGTAAGACGTCGGCGTTGCGCATGTGCCGCTCAGAAGTGACGAATGCTGAAGCGCAGGGGAGAGATCAAAACAAAACCACGTTCACTAATTAGAAGTACAAAACGAGGATTTGTAAAGAAGAATGTCAGAGGATTTCGATATAAGCCAAGAGGAGACTGGTTTTCCTTTGCTAAAGTAAGGAAACTTTGCTTCCTTTGCTCCTATAAACAAACGTTGGTTTTCACGAGACATGCGCAACGCTGACATCTTACGTCATCCTCCCAGAGCTAATTCCATGTACAACTGTTGGCGCAAGCTAGATTAAAGTGATTATTACATTTTGAATATGGATATTTTTATTACAAAAACGTATCGATTCGCTACAGGAGGTCTTTGTTCACCCCCCAGAGCCGTGTAAGGCACTTTTTATTATGGATGGATGCGCGTTATTTCACTTCTTTTGGACTGATGCACTGCAACACCTGCTGACTGCCATTAAACAGCTTGGAAGATCAAAGTCAATTTTTAGTATAACTCCGATTGGATTCATCTGAAAGAAGGAAGTCATGTCGTCTAGGATGGCTTGAGGGTGAGTAAATATTGGGCCAATTTAAATTTTTGGGTGAACTATCCCTTTAAGACCTAAACCTGTAATTGAAATACACATTATATTACAAACATATACGTAATATTTAATGTGTTTAACGTAAAAAAAATATATATATATCATCGCTGTAATAAATGATATTTATTACTACAATATACAGTGAACTTTTCATATCAGCAGACAATATTCCATACAAAATATACCCAGAAAAGCACCGCATCTCAGAGATTTTTGGTGGTGTAAACAATTTATTCTGAAGCAATATTTTCATCAGATTTTTTTTACATACTTAAATCTGCATATTGTTATTTACCTTTACAAAGGCCTATTTTTACAGATTATAAATGTTTTAATATATTAAACATAAAACATTGAATAGTACTGATATTTGAAATTATTTAAATAAAAAAAAAGATAATTTAAATGTGTCGAAATAGCAAAAACAGGAAATATGGTGTCTAAAACATAAGTCTCTTAATTAAATTCTGGTTTATTGAACTGTTGTAAAAAATCAATATAATATTTTGTACTTATGGTAATTTTTGGAGAAAAAGCGGCACTCTTCGTGTGAAATTGATTAACTATATGAAGTGGTTTAAATACATACATTTTCTGCTCCCATCTCTAGAATTTTGTGATCATTCTAAAAAATGTATTTTAATAGACTGAATCATGCAGAGAAAGAACACACTTTATACGCACGCGCACTAGTCTAGATTTCACCTAATGCGTGCACTCTATAGGTGTTTTGAAGGTTTTTTTGTTTTGTTTTATTGCATCGTGAGAATAATCAGCAAAATAGCTCAATTGTCATGGTATGCTATTTAACGATATCATGTTATGAATAAACTAAACATTTTGAATTTTTACCTCTGTTACCTGTGTTTCTTCTGAGTTTCTTTCTGTGTTGTTACGCTCATTTGTTCTGAAGTCTCTCACAAAGAGACAGTGAGCCTCAACAGTGTGACCTTGATACCAGAAATACACTATCCATTATCAACGGCTGTTTACATTGAATGTAGGCTAATAAAATTAGAAGAATCATTCTCACGTTTCGATGCTTCGCTGGTTATTTTTTGTCACTATCATGTTTTAATCAGGCTATTTGTCCGGTCAGTCAAGTAAGAAAAAATAAATAAATCAATAAACTAGCTAGAAGGCTGATTAGCTGTAGCCCCCGCGGTGGAAGAAGAAAAAACTTCAGTCTGTCCAATTATTGTAAACAGGTCCGTCAGACTGAAGATATTTTAGCAGTAATGTGACCAAAAATATTTAAGACCCATCGGATCTGAATTTAAGTAATTTTAAAGGTGACATATCATGAACCTCTGACTTTTCCAGGTTTTTTTAAGTGCTATAATCAGGTCCCCGGTGCATCTACCAACCAAGGAAACGTGAAAAAGATTAACCCAGTAACTTTGTTTTGGTAAGCCTTTTTCTGCAAGCGTCTGAGAAAACGAGCGTGTCTGATTTCGCTCCCTTGGTGACGTTGCAAAGGGGTCTCATTATAATATTACCGCCCCTTAATCTGTAAGTTTACACCCACAGCGCTGTTATTCTGATTTCGCAAGCGACAACGGTGTACCAGCTCTAATGTCATGGCGAAAGTTTGAGCAAAACATGCTAACTGTTCTGTCTTTGGCTGCACAGACGAGCACAGAACACTGTTTAGAGTTCCAGCCTCAGAGGAGACAAGAGAGCAGTGGATTTATTGATTTAGTTCATGTATATTGCTGCTGCGCCACAGATCTAAAATAAACACGTGATTTATTTCCCAGCTGTTTACCTTCACAGACATAACCGACTGTTTTTGTAACTCGTGTGTTTTTAACGTAAACTTGCGTGTG